GATACTTGTTCAGAATACCGTCGCGACTTTCGTGCCAGGATTAATTATATTGTACTTTTCGCTCTCGTATTTCGTATGAATTTGTCGTGAAGCGTCGTTTTTTTTTGTTATTTGTATGATTCGTTCTCGTTTTTTTGGGGGGAATTAATAGCGAACTAATATCGTTGTAAGGAATTGTTAATCTCAGTTCAATTATCGCTTATTATTGTTTGCTAAGGCATTGTTCAAAACCGATCCAATTCATATTATTGATTTGTTAATTATTCACTCGTAGTGTTACTTTTTTCTAGTAATAAACTTGTTATCTTTTTTTGTTCAAATCGCGTAATTTATTTAAGTGTTCGTCTCGCTTGGTTGTCGATTGTCGTTTTGTCTGTCGTCCGTTAATTCCGCGAAGACTCGCATAATCAATTAACTTTCTCTAATAACCCCTCCCCTCTACCGTTAGGCGAGCTAGTCGGTCCGTGGCGAAGCAGGCTATCGTTTTCTTTTAACGTCTTTCGGCTTTTCGCGAAAACTAATGCGTGAAAGACCGCTTCTGGCGCCCAGCTTTTCGATATATCGATACGGTCTCCGCTCCGCCGCGGCTCGCGCGAGAACGTCCTCCATCCCTGTTCCTCAGAACGCGAGTATAATAATTTCGTTATTGTTTTTGACGGCGTTTTCGCTCCCCCGCGCACGCTCCCATCCAACACCTCGAGGAGTGTCGCGATTCATTTTGAATTTCAATTGAAGAAACGTCGCAATATATATAAATATATAAATAAATAAATATATATATATATATATATATATATATAACAATAACGAAATAAAAATGAAACAAATTTTATAATAATAACAAACTTTGACAATAGATTTTAAAAGGAATAATAAAATCCTAGCAGCAAACTCAATTAATAACTGTTCGATGAAAATAATAATATATTCTATACGTAACATGTATATACTCAATTATGCAACGTATACAGGTAATAATTAAAATAAATTTTTCTCAAGATAACAAACGTATTTGTGGTTAAAAATAATAATGAAAAAATATATATATATACCTTTTATACTTACACATATGTATACCCATTCCTTGCGATGTAATAACATTAGTCTGTGGTCCCACATTTTTTGACATGTATGGTATCTGTAAGAAGTAAAATAATTAATATATGTTAAATACAACAAATTTCATGAAAATATTGTTAAAATAATCAAGATTACAATAAAATAAAATTATTTAGTAAATTAAAAACTCTAATAGCACATGACAGTAACAGATCTTATAATTGAATTGTACTCTAATAAAATCAGTCATATTTTACTAGATTTTTAATATAAATTTTATTATATAGGATGACCCAGAACTCGCACATCAGCCGTTTTTGAAATCATTTTAAGAAAAAATTTAAATGCCAAAATACATAAAAAAAAATATATATATTATAATAATTTTTAAATAAAAAACATTTAAAGCTGGTCTAAGCGCGTGAACTTAGGCAATCTCATTAACCAACTGTAAATGCTTTTTATATAAAAATTATTATATACCATTAAGAATTGAGCATTAGAATTTTCGTCTTAAAATGATCTTTAGAAAATGTATGATGTGCAAGTTTTGAATGCAAATACTCTGTATATTTTTATAAATTAAAATCTAAGCAAGAAAAAGTTAAAATAAATGTTTGCAAATGTTTCCAACAAAAAATTACAGATTAATAAAAATTATATAAAAACATTTTAACAATTTTTAAAATCATTTATTAAGAAATTCACTGTAGAAAATTTTATTAGAAACAGCGAGAACATTTTATGATTACAAAGAAATCCAATCTAGTTAGAAATAAAACTAGCTAAAATCTAAAATTAGATGTTGTATATAAGATGTTTGCCTCAAAAATAATCTTGATAAATATTTCGTTAACTTATACTTATAATTACTTATACTTACAATATATACTTATATGTATACTTATATAAAAGAATTTTAACAAATTATAAAGTAACTTATTAATCAAAATGTCATTGTAGAAAATTTAATTTAGACATAATTACAAAGAAATCTAATCCAGTTAAAAAGAAAATTAAAATTTAAAATCAGATGTAAGATGTTTGTCTCAAAAATAATCTTCAAATATTTCATTAACTTACTTATAATTACTTACAATATGTACCTATATGTAATATAAGTACATATATGTTACTTATGTGTAACATATATAAGAAAATTTCTCTCGTTAATGTATAATAAGTGCATAAATACTAACAATTATAAGTTATGCACTCATATTTAAAACTATATTTAAAATATTTCTCTTAAATAAAATTGCATTTAAATCACAGCAGCATTATATGACTTAGGACAGGCCTGTGGCCCAGTTTCGTAGCAAGAAATAAAAAGAATTAAACAATAAGCAAAAATCAGCCAAAAAATGCAAAGCAGTTACAAGTGTAACTTGAAAAAAGAATCCGTTTTTTATGGTTAAACTGGCTATATATCTTTTTCTTTCCAATGTAAACTCTAATAATTACTACTAATATAATTACTCAAAATGTTACTATTAATTCAAAATATTACTAATTATTTAGAATAAAATATTATTATTATAACAGAACAGACATTTTTGTACTATAGTAACAAAATAAACAAAAACTTTAAACTTTTTGTCGCCAGTAATGATCAGCAATTTATATAAAACTGTATTTCAAAATTACTGCCAGCCAGCGCAGTGTCAGTTATAATTCACGTTACTTTACGTAAACTCAAGTCCCTGGCACAAGCTATTCTTCCAATACAAAAAAATTCTCTGAAATGTCATTAATGTACGTCACTATGCGATGCTGATAGTCAAGTTGATCTATATATAACGGTGTGGCTAGTGTCACTAATTTGAAATTATTTAATAATTGCTTTCATTTATAAAGAAATTTTTTGCAAATTTAATAAATTTATTGTTTACAGTCGTTTATATTCTTTTTCAGTTTCACAATGCTTACGTGCGTTGTACTTATAGTTGTCCAAAAAATAAACCGAGCACTTGACTAGCAGCGGACATTTAGAGAGAATTTTACGGCTATGCCAAGGACCTACGTATATAGGGTGTCCGTCGATTTTCGACCTAAATGAAATAAATAAGTAGATTTGCTCGAATTAAGAAGGAATGACCTGTATTGTTTTGGGATTGTCGCAATAATTAACGAAATATTAAATAAAAGAGATCGGCCAATCTGCGTGAGTAAAAGCGCGTGGCAACGAGAGTCGTCCCACCGTAATCCGATACTACGAGCGCGGCGAAGCGGTGGGCGGGTCGCTCTCCGAGACATGATGGTGGTTTGTGATATATCGCAATACCGCGCCGAAAAATGACCCGTCCCCCCTTTTCGTGGCGAGAAAATGATGCGCTATCATTTCCACACCACCTTGCGGTAGATAGCATGGTGCGCTTTTTTTATAGTGGTTTCCCCTATAGGCCTATTCCACTCTCAATTTAAAAATTATAAAAATGCTATTTACTATACGCTGAATATATCGTAAATGTAAAAAATTAATAGACAGTACCTTTACAAAAATTGATTCGTGGTTGAAAATCCCTCGATAAAATGTATTGCACGCGTTGATAATGTGATACGATGATAAAATTCCTCAAGAATCCTTTCTTCATCTCGTACACGAAGACGCACTGCTGGACCGGTTATCTCGATATTATGCACGACACTCAGTTTCACATAATTATTGCACAACACATAAAATTGTACGGCCACTTGGTTTTCGTGCACGCCCGAGAAATGATTCCATGTAAATTGCGGCCGCACGATAAGTATTTTCTCCCGTTAGCCCGTATGCCACAATCATGTCCGTATATTCCTGCGGAGTATACTTCATTTTCACTGGTAATTAATTGCGCGAACATAAGATTTTTACAAAGCGTCTTAGCTCTCGCACGTTGTTGCCAGACTGCGTTCGCCAGCAGCACGTAACTACAGCTGAGCGGACATGCGAGTGTAATCATAGTGCGCAGGCGTCGAACTCACACGTACGCTTACACTCACATGTCCGCTCAGCTGACAGCTGTAGTTGCGTGCTGCTGGCGTACGCAGTCTGGTAACAGCGTGCGAGAGCTAAGACGTTTTAATAAAAATCTTGTGTTTGCGTAGTAAATTAACAGAGAAAATGAACTGTACTCTGCAGGAATATACGGATATGATTGTGGCATACGGACTAGCGGGAGAAAATACTTATCATGCGGCCGCAATTTACATGGAATCATTTCTCGGGCGTGCACGAAAACCAAGTGGCCGTACGATTTTATGTGTTGTGCAATAATTATGTGAAACTGAGTGTCGTGCATAATATCGGGATAACCGGTCCAGCAGTGCGTCTTCGTGTACGAGATGAAGAAAGGATTCTTGAAGAATTTTATCATCGTATCACATTATCAACGCGTGCAATACATTTTATCGAGGGATTTTCAACCACGAATCAATTTTTGTAAAGGTACTGTCCATTAATTTTTTACATTTACGATATATTCAGCGTATAGTAAATAGCATTTTGAATAATTTTTAAATTGAGAGTGGAATAGGCCTATGGGGGAAACCACTATAAAAAAAGCGCATCATGCTATCTACTGCAAGGTGGTGTGGAAATGATAGCGCATCATTCTCTCGCCACGAAAAGGGGGGACGGGTCATTTTTCGGCGCGGTATTGCGATATATCGCAAATCACCATCATGTCTCGGAGAGCGATCCGCCCACCGCTTCGCCGCGCTCGTAGTATCGGATTACGGTGGGATTACTCTCGTCGCCGCGCGCTTTTACTCACGCAGATTGGCCGATCTTTTTTATTTAATATTTCGTTAATTATTGCGACAATCCCAAAACAATACAGGTCATTCCTTCTTAATTTGAGCCAATCTACTTATTTATTTCATTTAGGTCGAAAATCGACGGACACCCTGTATAATACATTTGCAGCATTGATAACAATTTTGCATTGAGCACAGCCTAAGAAAATTCTCTATAGTCGACCTAAAAGCGGACTTTTGATTGCTTTTTCTTCATCATTAGGCATTGATTGTAGATATCAGTTCTCTTCTACACACTGCCATCATGTTGTTTACTCCATGGTGCATTTGCAAGCCAAGTACTAGCAACTTTGTCACATACTGTCAAATCTTTTGCTTCAAAGCGTGTCATTAGAGCACCTAAACATTCAAACAAAAAGTATATAAAATAAAAATATAAATAAGTATGACAAAATAAATTACGTGTGCAGTATAGTTCTTAATACAAAATAAATCAAAAATAAAAATGACGTGTATTACCTAAGAAACAAAATGGAATATTAACAACAATAAATTCTTACCTTGTACTAGTTCCCATATCTTAAGATCTTTAAATCTTTGTTTTCCTCGTGTACCATGGAAATTATAATTGTTAGCTACAGAGTTACTTAAAATTTTCGATAGCAATTTTCTGACAGAATTTTCTATGCTTTTTGGGTCAATAAATTTTGCAAAATAAAAGGTCTGAAAATAGAAAATTATTTGTCAAATAAAATAATTATAACTTAAACGTGCACAATAATGTAAACCAGGCCTGTACAACTGAAAAAACATCAATAATGCTGTTTGCATAGGCAACACGCGATACTAAGAGCATTGGCGGACACAATTTTCTTCTTTAATAATTTTCTTTTTAAATAAATTATGTGGTATAAATTGATATAAATTCCGTCTGTAACTTATCTTCTCTTTTGTCATGTTACACTCTTCTCTTCTATATATTATTTTTATCTAAAAATTATCTTTTTTATCTTAAAATTTAATAGCCACGGCCACAAGTATTATTTTTGACTGCCCGCAATTACCCGAGCAACCAGTTGTGCAGTTGGCTTCAAAAAAATATTAATTATATATTATTGATCTAAACTTACCGCTGCTGATAAATTGTTATCATCTTTAAGAAATTCTTCCATTTGATTCAATTCATGCTCAGTTTCAACTGGAAAAGATGGAAGACTACTAGGGCGTTTAACAACTTTTTCAGGAAGTAAATAACGGTGTAATTTTTCTTGATTCATAATAAAAATATCCACTTTGCTGTTAATTTGTTTTGTAATTTTCATATTTTCATCTAATTTGTAAATACAATTAGCAAGCATAGTTTGTAGTGATGAATCTTCTGAAATTAATCATAGAAAAAAATGTTATTTTAGAGATATATTATTTAATATTAAAAAAATATATCCAACAGTTATTTTAGTAATATACAGGGTCTACCAAAAGTGTGGAAACCCCTAAATATCTCGGAAAATATACGTTTTACAGAAAAGTGTTTCCAACAAAAGTTGTAGGGTTTAAGAAGATCTATATACTGATTCTATCAGTTTGACCTTGGATGGCGTCGTCAAGGTCAGGTCAAGGTCACATTGACTTTTTTAAATGACACCCCCTACATTTGATTGCATATTCTTATAGCTTAATTCAAGAGCTTTCCAAAACACTATAATAATGTTCATTTTTATTAAGTACTTTGCGAGTTATGAGGGTTGAATGATAGAGTAGCGCCGGTATTAACATTATCCAAGGTGTACTACATGGAGGTTACTCGCTCGGATTTGCATCTGTTGTGTGTGTGATCCAGCTAACTAAGGCAAGATCGGTCGTGGATCCAGTCAGCAAAAGCAAAGACCCAACCAAATTACAATCGAGCATTTAAAGACCTGGAAAGCAATCGACATAGTAAACAGTAAATAAATTTGTGGATGCTCATTTATCATAATAATTGTTCGAAATGTGTGCGTGTGCGTGCGTGCGGTGCGTGTATACAGAGATCAGGTTAGGTTGCACCAAACGATTGCAAATGTGTTTCAATGTGTTAAAGTAAATGCTGAAAGTGGCTGCCATTTACTTCCTGACAATATGCTAATCTTTGGTAGAATGTAGAAATGACTTTACGATTCGTTTCAAAAGGTATCAAAGCCATTTCATCCCTTATTCGCTGTATCAATTCGTGAATGGTTTTAGGTTTTGTTCTGTAAACCTTACTCTTCAGATATCCCCATAGATAATAATCAAGAGGAGTTAGATCTGGTGACCGAGGTGGCCAATCCTCTCCTCCCTCATTTCCGTTCCTTCTTCCTATCCACCGTAGCGGAAAAGTCTCATTTAAAATACGACGTGGTCCTGCACCAAAATGAGCAGGAGCTCCATCATGCTGAAACCATATTTCTTGGAAATTATTTGGAAAAGTATTCTGTATGGCTGGAATTATTTGATCAACAAGTAATCTCTCATACCTTTGAGCGTTCAAATATTCTTCAAAAAAAAACGGCCCTATTAAATAGCCATCTATTATTCCGCACCATACATTTATTTTTTGTGGATGTTGTGTGTGAGTTTCCCGCACCCAATTCGGATTCTCATCTGACCAGAAACGAAAATTTTGATTATTAACTTCTCCCGTTAAGGTAAAAGTTGCCTCGTCTGTGAAAACAATTTGATAAGGGAAGATGGGCCGGACATCTATTAGTGCCATCATTCTTTCACAGAAATGTATACGACGCTCCTCATCTCCGTTTTGCAATTCTTGAACGTATTGCAATTTATATGGATGGAACTTGTTCTTCTTTAAAATTCTCCAAACCGACATGGGAGCAATATCGTGAGTTTGAGCGACTCTCTGAACACTAGAATTGGGATCTTCAATAAATGTCTGCAGAACATCAAGTTGTTTTTCTTCGTTGGTTGCAGACAATGGTCTTCCTGACTTAGAGCGATTTCTTACGCTACCAGTTTGTCTAAAACGTTCTATTGTTTTTAACACAGTGGACTTATTAATTCGACGGTTCGGATACGTGTCATTAAATAATCGAACGACATCAGAGAACGATCTTTCGTTATCACCCCATCCACGCATCATGAGGATAGTGATTCTTTCACGTTCCGACAAGTCGCCAGCCATTTTTAAAACGTTTAATTTTAATTAATCGTACGTTGTATTTGGACGATAACAATTAATTTCTGCTTGCTCAAAGCTGAAGTTAGAAGGTGCTCGTTCTTTGATAGCTTTATACATTCTTAGTTGAATTTTAAATGCGAGTTAGACTGCATGTAGTGCGTCACATAGCGGTAAATGAAGGAACTAACGAGACGTTTCATACACGTTTTATGGAGCAATTTTTTGGCAATTTGACTTCAGCGAAATATGAGGATATGTTGAGGAATCGATCTTGCCTTAGTTAGCTGGATCACACACACAACAGATGCAAATCCGAGCGAGTAACCTCCATGTAGTACACCTTGGATAATGTTAATACCGGCGCTACTCTATCATTCAACCCTCATAACTCCCAAAGTACTTAATAAAAATGAATATTATTATAGTGTTTTGGAAAGCTCTTGAATTAAGCTATAAGAATATGCAATCAAATGTAGGGGGTGTCATTTAAAAAAGTCAATGTGACCTTGACCTGACCTTGACGACGCCATCCAAGGTCAAACTGATAGAATCAGTATATAGATCTTCCTAAACCCTACAACTTTTGTTGGAAACACTTTTCTGTAAAACGTATATTTTCCGAGATATTTAGGGGTTTCCACACTTTTGGTAGACCCTGTATATATATATATATACATACCAATCGAAGAACATAATTTGAACAATACAAACTATTTTAATAATTCTAATAATATACACGGTGGGCCATTTTAATCGATGCACTCGAATATCTCGAAAACAGTACTCTCCAGAAAGAAATGTTTCAAACAAAAATTGTAGGGTGTGAAGGGGGACATAAGATGGTAGCATTGGTTTGACCTTGGAAAGTCATTTGAAGGTCACATAAAAGTCACCTTCAATTTCTTAAATTGAACCCACTATTTTTCATTACATATTCTTGTCGCTTATCTCGAGAGCTTTCCAAAACACTACAGACAAATGTTTTTTCATTAAGTACTATTTGAGTTATAAGGCTTCAAAGTTTGCAGTACTTATATAAAATGCAAAATATCTCGTAAAATATTTAGTTTTCGGTAGTCTTACCCTAATACTTTTATGCACAGGATAATGAGACAAAACTATTGGTACAAAGAAAACGCATGATTGTTTATAACAAAAAGTGCATTGCAAATTACACATTTTTTATTATGATACAAAGAACTGTTGGTCGTTTCCAAAGAACCGGTTTAATTAAAGATGCGCCTACATCTGGAAGACCCAAAAATGCTAGTAATGACGAAAAAGCTTTAGATGTTCTTCTAACAGTAAACGATAATCCCCATACATCGGTCTCGAAAGCAGTTCAAGAAAATGATATTAGCGCAACATCAGTCCGTCGAATTTTGAAAAAGCATCACTATCATCCTTACAAAATACATCTAGTCCAGGAGCTATCCGAAGACGATTATGACAGAAGAATTGAATTTTGCGACACAATGATGACACGACTTGCTGATAATCATCAGTTTTTCAACTGGATCTGTTTTTCTGACGAAGCAACATTTGAGTTAAACGGTTCTGTAAATCGACAGAATATGAGATATTGGGCAAATGAAAATCCGCATTGGATGAGAGACAGTCACACGCAGTATCCTCAGAAGGTTAACGTTTGGGCCGGAATAATCTTAATCGTATTATAGGACCATTTTTTATTGAAGGAAACATAAATTCTCAAAATTACTGCAATTTGCTAAGAAACCAAATGATACCGGCTATTGAGGATATTGCTGGAGAAGCTTTCCACAATGTTTGGTTTCAGCAGGATGGGGCTCCGGCTCATTTTTCTCTGGAAGCTCGAAATATTCTCAACAATGTTTTTACTGATCGATGGATTGGTAGAAGAGGCACAATAGAATGGCCACCGAGATCACCAGATCTGACCCCATTAGACTTTTTTTACTGGGGGTATTTAAAAACAAAGGTCTATGAGACTAGGTCCGAAAATTTAGAAGAGTTGCGGGAAAAAATAGTGAACGTTTCCAATTCAATTACGCCCGATTTTTTAACTAATGTTATCGATACGTTTTACGTTCGCTTAGGACACTGCCTAGTTGTCGAAGGACATCAATTTGAACATTTGATACAATAATTAGTATTTTTATTCCTTCACATACACCAGTGTTCCCATCCTAGTCTTGCCTTAGTTGGCCGGACACGCTAGCGTTCTTGCCTTAGTTGGCCGGACACGCGCACACGCGCGGGCGCGCGCGCACACACACACACACACACACACACAACAGAGAAGGTTTGGAGTCATGAAATACGGCGGAAGTGACGAACTGCGGGGTCCTTATCTCTGTGTGACACACACACACACACACACACACACACACACACACACACTTAGGAACACGCGTGCTCGCGTGAAGTTTTATCTTTCTTCTGTTGTCGCCGTGGGCCCTCCCTATCGCAAAATCTCAATAGAAATGTTTAAATAATCATAACTCTGCGAAAAAAAATCGTAGAGACCTCGGCGATCCTGCGTTGTTCTCGTCTCGGAAAGCCCTTTCGAACGAGCTCTCACTCGACCCCACATTTCATTTAAGATTTTTTGGCCCCCTCCTTCCCCCGCCCCCCGGAGGTATGGAGAAGGGTGTTTTTGTGGTTAAATAATAGAATTTGTAATCCCTGTAAATTTGTATCCCTATAAATTTCAATCTTATATTACAAACCATTCAAAAATTATTTAGGTGGCCCGGAACTTTTGGCGGGCACTGTATATACAGGGTGGGCAAACTATAATAAAGTATTTCTTCATTGAGTACTTTTCGAGTTATGAGGCTTGAAATCATTTCTTAATTTTGTATAAACCGTAAAATATCTAATAAAATATTCATTTTTCGATTATCTTGCTTTAATATTTTTATGTACAAAATAATGAGAGGAATCAATTGGTATAAAGAAAACACATAGTTATTTTTAAGAAAAAATATGTAATTTGCAATTAACAATTACATATTTTTTCTTTGAAACAACTATGTGTTTTTTTACACCAATTGATTTCTCTCATTATTTTGTACATAAAAGTATTAAAGCAAGATAATCGAAAAATGAATATTTTACTAGATATTTTACGGTTTATACAAAATTAAGAAATGATTTCAAGCCTCATAACTCGAAAAGTACTCAATGAAGAAATACTTTATTATAGTGTTTTGGAAAGCTCTCGAGATAAGCTACACGAATATATAATAAAAAGTAGGGAGTTTTATTTAAGAAATTGAAGGTTACCTTTACGTCATCTTCAAATGACTCTCCAAGGTCAAATCATTGCCACTATCTGATGGCTCCCTTCAAGCCATACAACTTTTATCCGAAACATTTTTTTGATTTTTCATTATTTTCCGAAATATTTGAGTGGATCACTTAAAATGGCCCACCCTGTATATATAATTGGATAAATAAAATTTAATATAAAAAAATAATTTACCATTTTGCGCCTGTTGTTCCTTCTCTTCTTGCTGCTGCTGCTCCTGCTGCTGTTGCTGTTGTTGCTGTTGTTGCTGTTGATGCTGCTGCTGTATATACAATTGCAGCTGCTGGTGGAACAATTGTTGATGCACCATTCGGCATCTCTTGGAGAGCGAGCGCGCCCATTTTTGCATTGATTTCCTCTAAAATTTAGAAAAATTAAAAAGATGAATTTCTTAGTATTTTTTTATACAGTAAAACATTTTGTGTTAAATTTAACATATTTCACATGTTCCAATTTATTCACTCTAATTTTAATGTTAATTTAACAGAAGGCAAATATGTAAATAAATAACAAGTAATATGTAAAAAATTAACACAAAAATGTAACATTTGAACGTTATTGTGTTGTTTTTAACTCTTAGAAACGGTGAATATTAACTCAATGTAGAAGTCAAAATAACACAACGACAATATGTATTACATTAACATAAAAGTATGTTAAAAATTTAACACAAAAATTTCTACACAAGAAAAATCTACAGAAATACCAAATGTTTTTTACCGTGTACAAATATATAATGATTTACTTACGAGCCATTATGTTGACGTTCAGTTCAAATTCGTTTATCGCCGTTCTTTCGTGTACTGAGAATGAGGCACACTCGGCATTTGTTTATATATGTGCCTTGTGAAACCTTGGTGTTGAAGAGACTATCACGATCCCGATTGTGAGTTAGTATTTAAAATTTTTATATATCTTTATGCTTTTGACTTTATCTTCTTTTATTCACTCTTCTTTAATTCTTTGTTTCTGCTTATTTTTTATTTCATAATGTGCGATGAATTAATAAAAAAATCTAAGCGAAGCTTTTCAGAGTATTGGCTCAATGATGAGCGTATTAATTGTTGGATACGTAAAGTACCTTTTGATGAAAGCTTATATCATTGCACAATATGCAATAAAAATATTTCGTGCAATACGCATGTTTTGAGACATGCGAATTCTGCGACTCATAAAAATAATATTAAGAAAATAATATTAAGAAAATAATTCTCATCTCATCTTACTCATAAAAATAATATTAAGAAAATAATATTAAGAAAATAATTCATCTCTATGCACTGATGAAAATAATAATAAAAATGTAGATAAAAAAATATCAGAAAAATACAAGTTTCAACAACAGTGGCAGAGATAGAATTATTTAAGCCATGGTTGCAAAAAATATCACACGACAGAAATTCATTTTTTTGTTTATTTTGCGATAAATCTATGAAAGCGGATTTATCCAAAATATATCGTCACGCAGAATCCAAAGCACATTTAGAAATATGTAAAATTAAAGCAGAAACAAAGATTATAACAAACGAAAATGTAGCAGATGATTCACTTTCGTTTAAAGAACGAAAGAAAATAGCAGAAATTAGATATGCTGCATTAATTGCTGATAAAAATATTTCGCATCAAACGGCAAAAGAAATCCTCAGTTTTTTCCAACATATAGGAGAAGATCCTAATGTGTTAAAAAGCATGAGCATGAGCCGAACAAAATGTAGAAACATTATTACAAATGTTTTGTGCCCGGTCGAAACAGATCGTGTCGTCAATAAGCTTCAAAATACAAAATTTACAATTTTTATTGACGAAACATCTGATGTAACAAATAATAAATGGATGACTTTTCTTGTTCGATACGTTGATCCAGAGACATTAGATATTCGCTCACAATTAGTCAAATTAATCGATATTGATGCCAAAGATTCAAGCGCAGAAAAGTTGTTTGAGGCATTTAAATGTGAAATGTGGAAATTACAGATACCGTTTTTAAATATCGTAGCCTTATCATGCATCTGTTATGACAGGAAAACATTTATCGTTTTAAAAAAAATTTTGGAAAAATGTGTCCACATTTATTAACATTTTCATGCCCATGCCATTTTTCTGCATTAGCAGCGCATGCGGCCTGTTCCAAAATGCCTTCAGATTGCGAGGAATTTCTAAAAAAAGTTGCTACTTATCTCAATAGCAGTCCAAAACGTACAGCTATTTTTCGTGAATTTTGTGAATGTTTTCAAGAAACAAATCGCAAAATATTGAAATTATGTGATACGCGTTGGCTTTCACACTATTTATGCATCAAAAGGCTTCTTGAATCTTGGAATACAATTAAATACTTTCTTACTGAAATGGTTGTAAGTGAAAAAACAAATTCTGGAGAATATCTATTATCTATGATGGACAACGTAGAGATGCAAGCTCATTTCCTGTTTTTAAAATACGTTCTAAATTTCTTTAATGCATTTAATGCATTCTTTCAAGCATTAGAAACAAGGATTCATTTATTACATCCAAAATCTAGAAACTTTCTTTTCCAAATCTGTCGAAATTTTTTAAAAGAAGAATATTTAAAACCATTTTCTACAAATATTATATTCTCACTAAAAGAAAATCAAAAAGTTATAAATGAAATTATTTTGGGATCAGAATGTGAAGAATATCTAAACGAATTAACACTTAAAGGTCACATAAACATAGTTAAAATTGTTCGAGAGAATTGTTTAACATTTTATGTGATTGCTGCGGAAGAAATTCATAAAAGATTACCCATAAACAACATGTTTTTATCAAAGTTACAAGTTTTTCGACCATACATAACTTTATTTGATAATAATAGAGAAACATCATTCAATGATGTTTCTTTTATAGCTAAAACTATTGGCTGTTTTGATGAAAATGGTTTGAAAGAAGAATGGATTGCTTTACCATTAGATTTTACAATGGAAGAAAAACAAAACTTTTCTAAATTAAATTTCTACAGTATGTGGAAAAAAATTTTACAAAATCGACACAATAATTTTACTAAGTATCCTAATTTAACAAATGTTATAAGTACTATAAGATCTCTTTCAAATTCAAATGCCGATCCGGAAAGAATGTTTTCTTTTTTAAATAATTTAAAAACGAAAAACCGTAACAAGTTTTCGTCAACTACTATTAATGCTATTTGTGTATTTAAATCGACATTAGAAACGAGGGGCGAAACAGCTATAAAAATGAAAATTGACAAAAAGCATTTATCTTTTATGTCAGCGGATAAATTATATGCTACCGCTACTAAGAAAAATAAAAATAATTTAAGATTACATGCTGCAGACCCTGACGTAGCTGACCGCTCCTCTAATTAATAATACATTTATTTATTATTTATTATTATTTATTATTATT